TTTCAAGTAGTAAGTTCTTCAAAGCGACCTATTTAGACTCGTAGCAAGGATGATACAGAAGCTGCTACTGAAGGAAGAATTGCTTTTATGACTGAACCTAAGGTAGCTTCTATTGATTTTCAATTAATTAGTAATTCTCTTAGAGAAATTTATTTTCCTTTTCAGATCCGCTCCGAATCTCTGCCACCGCAACAGCCAATCTGCACTCTAGCCATATCCCTTCCGGAATATACTGGTGAAGCCCCACCTCCTCTTATTCAGAAGGATACAACACCATTTGAGGTGAAGTACCAGGAAGCTTTGAAGAAGGTTAGCCTACAGATCTAAATTTAACCAAACCTCTCTGTAGCATTTATCACAACTCAAAATCTCTAGGAACTTCCTGAATATGTCCATCAGAATGTCCTAAAAGGCGTGGGAGCCGATTGGCAACGATTGGCACGAGCTTTGGAGCTTCCCCATAGAGATATACAATTTATCCGCCAGAACTATCCCGGAAAGGAAATTCATAACGTCCTGAAAATTTGGATTTACCTGAAGAAGGAAGAAGCGAGTCCTGAACGTTTGGATAATGCTCTACGTAGAATTGGACGTGATGACATTGTTAGGAGCATTGCACATGGTGAGCCGGATTCGTTGAGCTATGGAAACGGTAGCGATTCACCGTCAAGTAAAAGATTTGAACCTGCAAAGCACGTGGAGCTGCCTGCAACTATTCATAAGTAAGTCTCAACCAAATCTTATAGGTCTTAAATTTGGACGAGTTCTTGTTTGAAGCAAAACTCATACAGTAGAGTTTGATGTTCAACGTTTTCAGAACATATGATGCAGTGCCAGCTTCACCGAAACGTATTGAAGAGAAAGAACAACAAAAAGAACGAGAAAAACCAATACCACCAGTGCCACCACCACGTCGTGACAATCGAGAGGCTGTACGAGCTCCAGGTCACGAGGTTCACGAATTCCGCCACGAGGAAGCCACCATTGAACATCCAGACAGGGAAGCTTCACCTGGTGGATCCGCCGGTATAGCGTACACTGCCAAGCTGCCAACAGCACATGTAGCTGAACCAATTGTTGAAGAACCGGAAACAACTCAGGTGGTACAACCTGAAGGTAAGAATATTTCTTGGGTATAATTTCCTGTCAGATTAAATTAGCTATTTTTAGAAGAAGAATCAGTATCTGAGGTACGAACAGTTGTACGAACTGAACGACACGTTCATGACACAGAAGAAGGCCCTATCGTTGAGGAAAGGACCATTACGACGACTTATGAAGATGATGTAGCTGTCAATGAACATGTTGTGGATCGAACAGTACCTCTGAATGATGAAGAGAAACAAAAGTAAACTCAAATTTTCCATTTATTTGAAAAAAATCAATACATCGGTGACATCTATAGATGGGAAGAGCTGAATCGTCTTGCTGGTCACAAAGCCTATGTAGAAGAAGAACAAGAGCCATTACCAGAAGGAATGGCCCAAGAAGTTGAAACCGAAAAATACACAGAACCTGATGGAACAGTAGTGACGACGACTACAATAACAAGTCATTATACTGCTCGTAAGTTCTATTTTTTCGAATTTTTGGTTTTTATTTTCTGAATTTTATTGGTACCCATCGCCCACCTCTCACAGCTATCTGAACTCCCCATCACACGCACCGTTTGAAAAACCCACGCATGTTTGCCACTATCACAA